GTTTGCATGTTCTCCCTGTGCATGCGTGGATTCTCTCCGGGTACTCCGTCTTCCTCCTCCAGTCCAAAAGCATGACTGTTAGGTTTATTGGTCTGTCTAAATTGTCCTTAGGTGTGAGTGTGTGTGTGCATGATTGTTTGTCCAGTGTGTCTGTGTTGCCCTGCGATGGACTGGCACTCTGTCCAGGGTGTACCCCGCTTGATTGCCCGTTGACCGCTGGAGATAGGCACCAGCCCCCCCACCCCGCGACCCTGTGTGGAAAAAGCAGGTTCAGAAAATGGATATATATATATATATATATATATATATATATATATATATATATATATATATATATATATATATATATATATATATATATATATATATATATAAAGTTATTTATTTATTTTGTTTTAATGAAAATGATTTAATTCATTTATTCCAGCAGAAGTGGAACACTGTAAGTCATTTGACTGTCATTCTACTGACATGGTACTGAATGGAAACAGCAAACTGTTATACTCTTTTAGCCTTGAGCGAATGCTGAAGTGAATGAATTGCTGTGTGCTAGACCCTTGTGTTATATTTCCTCTCTGTCTGATGTGACATGGGCCACTCTCTTCTAGGAGACGGCCTCGGTCCATAAAGTTGTGAACACTACATGCTAATTAGAAAGCTCCCTTTTAAAAGTTCCTTTTCTCTTTGGTCTGTTGTGCTTTCTATTTGCGGGTCATCACCCCCCCCACCCTTTAGCTTTCATTGGCCCTTGAGATTTTATTTCAAAAAGTGTTTTTAAATGTGTCTAAAGCATTGGTCTCACTTTAAGCCTTTTCTATCCATCCATCATTCAGACTTGCTGACAGATCAGCCACTCATCCCCTCCTATCGCCCAAAAGATAATATTTACAGGAGTGTCTCCTCTGGTGTTTATTTTTCCTGCATCAGAAAATAAACGAGACAGCAGATTATTTTATTTTTCTAGAAATATTAAAGTGTGTATTGTTTTCATTATAAGCCGGATCAGCTTGGAGCTGATATTTATTGAATCATCTAAATTCAGTTTACTGTCAACTTGGAATCAGCCATCTTGTTCTTATTCAGAAATGTTAATTCAGTCCAGAAGTTTATTTTGCTTTTGACTAAAGTAGCTTTCATCAGTGGCTCCTCTTATGAAGGTCGCTGTATCGCTTACTTCTGCCTGACGTCCCGTTCTTGTCGATGCTTGAAAGAACACTTTGATCACAGAGGCATCAGGTCCAGCTTCAGGTCCCTGGCGTCGGAGCTGGAACTGTTAGAGAGCTCCTCCTGGTCATCTGAAACTCCCACTTGATCTCAGCAATGCTTGAAGTAAACTTATAGTTTCTTTGCCTGCAGTTTTATTTCTCACACCTTAATAGCAAAATAACAATGTGTTGGTTGATGAAAGCTTTTGTTTTATTTATTTATTTATTTATTTATTTATTTGTCTGGAGTCAAGTAGATGGTGTGAAAATTGGCCAAGTTGTTGAACATACAGTGGCCTTTAATTTATTCACAACAGACCTAGAGTGTGTCGTCTCCTTCCTTGGCTGCTGGTGCTCATTCTTATGTCAAAACTGTTACATGTGTGCGCGCACGTCTTTATAGGCAGCATGCAGCATTTGCTCCCCATGGTCTCTGCCCATGTGCACGGGGTGCCTCCTCTTCCTCAGCTGTGAGGAGCAGGGCTCTGACACGGCCTGTCCCTTTAGCTCACTCTGAGCGTTTGACACAGCGAACGCAGAGGTCAGCCTGACCTACTTTCTCCTGGAGGCCCATCTGCCAAGCTGCTGTGCTTCTCAACAAGGTGGGGGGGGGCAGGGAGGGTGGAGTTGCTTACGCCTCCACTGCTGTCCTGGTGTGTTAAATCACCGCCATTTGTTGGGAGACATGTTTTAGTGTGGAGCGCATGCATTTTATAATTTTCTTTTGGGTGTGTAGAAGTCATCCCATCTTGCATATATGGACATACACACTGACTTATTCTGAGGGTGAGATGCTCTGTGGGGGTTGCAGGTAGATGCTAGGCAGCTCTTGGGCAGGACCCCTACAGTGAGCTCTGTCTGAATCACTTTGTGCACAACCGCTAACACCCTCTGACTTCTTCCACCTACTTCATTTCCCTCCACCGTAGACCTGCGTTCCCTCATATCCATAGACTCAATACAAACCCCTGGTTGGTTCCTTTTAAAACTTGGACCCAACTTTTAAAGCTCTTGTTTGACTCAGCAAATATATTCAGTCAAACGCAGTTAAAGTCGCTGTCATTTTTAGGTTTTTATTTGAATATTTTAACCTCTGCTCCTTGCCAAGAATTGACTCATAGACTGCTAGCTTCGCTTTGCAATGTGTCTTAAGTGGTGAAATGATTTTTGTGAGCACAATGTGGGACATTTTGGGGTGCATTGCCTGACTGGATGGGAGGCAGGCAGAGTTCATTAAAAAGTAAACTTCTGATGTCGCAGCAGGCCATGACTGCTTGACTGTATCAATGATTTAGTCCTAGCAGAAGTTCCTTAATGGATAGAGCCACCTCTCTGTGCATGTTTAGCTGCCTCCGTCTGTCTGGCACGAAGTCCTATACACACACACACGCACACGCTTAGACACAGACTCTGAAGCAGAATTATTTTACGTACCTTGGTGTGTGTAGAAGTGCGAAGCTTAAATCAAAAACCTTTGCACTCAGACACACTTGTTGCACCTCTGTCGGCCTTAAATCCCACAGATTGGGAACTTTTTATGTGTTTGTCACTAATGCATAAACACATCTATGAATGTTATTTTATTAATCCTAATTAATGCAGAACTACAGAGTTCATGCAGCTATTACAAGCCAAGAAATCTAGTCAAACCAGAGCAGTAGCTCTGCAGACCACGCTCTATTGTAGCCTCAGCAGGTCCACCATTTCCTCAGTGAAGTGTAGGCCAGACCAATCACGGAGCTCGGTTAGTAGAGACATGATGGGTGGGCTGAGCACCATTATAGCTGATCTGATTATGGCAGATCAAACTGAACAAAATGACAAAGATGGTGTCTGCTCAGCAACAGCGCTAGTTTGAAACAGCTTTGGTATCAACTTTGGACGATTTAGACTTGAGCCTTTCTTTGGGACACGGGCAGATAGAGGGACTTCTTCTTCTACTTCTTTGACGGTGTATGGCAGACTGTCCCACTGACAGATGCTATGGGTATGCTATGGGTATGTCACGCTGTTCGTTGCTAGCGTATCATCCCCCCCCTCCCCCCCCCTCCCCCCCCCCCCCCACACACACACACAAAAGCTGAACACTGTGTATGGATCATGGCCAGACTATACATTTACACAAAAAGGATGGCTTGTCAGGCTAATGGTTTTTGCTTTTGCAATGAAATGAGCTAGCGTAAAAACCTGTTTAGCCTGAATTCTCACCTGACATGTATCTGTGGGATCACCGTGTGCTTCCCTAAAGTTGTCCCGCATCTTTATAAAGGCCGCGTGTGGTTTTACATCTGCAGATTCAAAGTTATTCCATCACAGCTGTGCACAATCTCACTTGGAAGAAGACCGAGGCGCCTGTGGCTTAATTACATTCAGACCACATAAGAGTTCAGATCACAGTGCAAGCCTGAGCACTTCCTTATCTAGTTCTGAAGCTAGAAGAAGTCTGAAGGAAGCGTCTCAATATATGTCCTCTAGTGTGTAGGTAGTAGTACCTGATAGGAGTTCGTTTGAAATGGCAGGAGCAAGATTTAAATGTGGTCACAATACACCAGTCAGCTGCTAGAAGAGCATTCATTCATATTTTCTACATTTTGAATTGAGCCTTTCCTTGAAAATGTATCATTGTGGCCTTTAGAGTACCTGGTTGGAGGTGAGGGACAGCTTGCTTCTATATTACTGATGAAGTTAGGTTTCTTGTATCACATTGTTGTATTTCTTGTTTAAACCTGTTAAAGTTCATATTTAGTAGCATTTTCTTTCTTTACTTTTTAATTTTTGTGAATGTAACTAAGGGTGTGCATTGCAAAAATCTGGCGATGTGATATATTGTATATCGTACAATACAGTAGAGACAATACGATATAAATTGCAATGCAGCGGAGACGATACGAAATATATACCACCCAAAGGAATACAGTAAATGCTTTTATGTAAAATCTAAATAAAAAAAATCAATACATCGCTCTTAAATATGGATTCAGTAACTCCAAATATTATCATGTTTCTGTGTTTCGATGTGTCAAAATGCAAGAAATGTGACAACCTTAGTAAGGGTTTGTGTATAAATTGTAAATAAAATTAGAGACCAAAAAATAAATAAATTATCCCAAATATTTGACTGGAAGGTTGCACACTCCAGCTGTATCTAATACAAACTTGGTGCAATTGCAATAGAAATTTTACAGATTTCCTTTGCTGCCTCATGTCTCCAGCTAGTCACCAACAGTATGGCTGCAGTGAGAAAACTGTTTGAACACACTCACACACACCTCTGTAACGTGTGTGTGTGTGTGTGTGGCTAATTCAGCGCACCTCTACTTTCCTATCAAGCTAATACATGAATTCCCCTTCCCACCACCATGGAGGAGCTTGTAACACAGTAATGAGTTAACTTTCAGAATGATCTACATAATTTATTTTCCAGCCCCCACAGGAGGCTGCTGAGGCATTAATTAATATCAGTCCCTGCTATCAGCAACCACCCCAGTGTGGGATTCCTCCCTGTTCCTATTTTTGGCACACGTGGAATTTGATATGCAGCGCAACCCAAATGGAATTTGTTGGACACGGAGAAAGATATAGTCTGCTTACTTTTTACTCTAATTTAGCTCCCACGTGATCTAAATTCACTGAAGCACGCAGAACTTTAAAGATATTAAACGTGCACGCAAAAAGTTGTCCTCGTCAATGTGGGCAGTGATATTCTCCACACTTGTTTATCACGGAGTTCTTTGTATAATCAGGTATTTTTTTCAATTTGTGTTTACTTCTCTCTCTCTTTGTTTTCTCCCACAGAACTCAATACGGCACAATCTGTCATTAAACAAATGTTTTCTCAAAGTGCCTCGCTCTAAAGATGACCCTGGAAAGGTAAGAGTGAAAAACGCTATTTTAATTATAAGCTGTTCAGATGAAACGTGAGTGTGGTGGAAATAAAATAAAAAAGTGTTTTTATGAAATGTGTTAAGTTTCAAGTAAGTACAGTCAGTTGGCAAAAGCATTTTAGGTGTGTGTGTGCGCGCGTGCGCGTGCGTGCGTGCGTGCGTGCGTGTGTGTGTGTGTGTGTGTGTGTGTGTGTGAGAGAGAGAGAGAGAGAAAGACTCACTCCCTGGTAGAAAATGTTTCCCTCTGAATGGCTGCCAGGACTCTTGACACTCTGGAAACGGGCTGGAATGAACTTCCCAGCCCCACGCAAATGCATACTAATGTTTTTCAAAAGCAGCAACCATTGTAAATGTGGATCTGAGATCAAGGCGTCAGATGGGTACACCTGAGGTGTAAAGAGCCAGGCCACTTACAGATTTGCCACCCCCAAAATGTTTGCGAAACCTGATCTCTTTTTGTTCCCAGCTCCTCTCTCTAAAGCGATGTAGTCGATGAGTACGTTTACATGCAGCCAATATCCAGGTTATGATCGGGTTAAGGTCAGTATTCGGGTTTCTGAGTTGATCAGAATAACCCGTTTACAAGCATAAATAGAAAGAGTTACCTCTAACTTGCATAACCCGATTTAAATGCGAACGTTGGGGTAGCGTCAGGACGTGTGGACTACGTCCAGACGCAATATGCGTCATTTCCCGTTCTTCTTGTTCCGGTATCCATGAAAACAACAGCATTTCCCAGTTCGGAAGAGATAGTGACCGCATTTGTTTGCGCTTTAGTTTCCTCGTCACTCAAAGTGTGGTGCTGTGCCGCGACTTGCCATTTTGCCCCCCAACTTGTTGTTTACTTCCGGTGTTCTGGCGCATACAAGACGTCTCGCTACTCAAGACCAAGATTCCTTGCGAACAGAGCATGCGTAGAACACACACTTTGATGGGAATATCCCGGTATGCGTTTACACGACCAAACATTCGGGTTAGAAAAGGGTTACCCCAGATAGGGTTTTTAAAAACCCGGTTATGAGCATATCCGGGTTAGGGCTGGGCGATATGGCAAAAATAGAATATCACGATTTTTCCAATATTTTATATATTTTATAACGATTTCGATTTTATCACGTTTTTTTTATCCATGAATAGCATAACTTCAATTGCGTATTAAAGAAGAGAAACATTGAATAAATAAACATTTATTCATATTAGGGATAATCAACACAGTGCTAACACACTTATATTTTAAACTCACACCAGAGATGATAAAAGCCCTGAGAGAAACAATTACAAAAATCAGTTTTTCTCGTTTTTCAAGTAACTTAACATAAATTAAAATCGTAAACATATTTAAAGTGCAAACATGTCAATTGCAAACGTATTGTGCAAACATTAACTTGTTCAAAATACTATGTAGCTCCCAGTTGCTCATGTAGTGGATAGTTAAGCTCAAATACGGCTCTGATGTGCGGCTGGACCAGAGATCGCTTGTGGTAGCAAAAAACTACGCATTCTGAATATTTTCTGCAACAAGTCTCTAAATAAAGTAAAATTTTCCAGTGCAGATTGGAGACAACCCATAGAAGCACTGATTTGATCTCATCTCAGAGAAAAATAGAACAGGTTAGATGCACCTAATAAATAAAATTACTAACAAACTCGGGAATCTTTCTTTGCTTCACTGTTCTGGTGCTGGAAATATCACTAATGCCGGTCAAAGGAGATACACAGATGAATGCACCTCTTATTATTTGGAAACTACATTTACTGCAGCTGGCAGAGGCAGAGATTGTTTCTATTGATACACGGAGTTTACAGAATCATTTTAAATTGTAATAGGGGAAGACTGCAGGAGGGAGCGGTAAAATACAGGGGGTCCCAGCAAAAACAAGAAACTACGAGTCTGATGAAACCCGCTGGTTTTCCATCAGGCAGTCACGGGGCAGCTCCAGCGACCCAGTGGCTGTGCTGGGTCGATAATGCTCGGCCGTGAACGAGCCGAGGCGATGTCGTGCTCTGCTTAAGAAGCGGTGTTATTCTCCTGCTTCAGAAGAAGCGTCTAACGTGTTTTTACGCTTTCTCCGAGACACGTCACGTCGCTAAGTTGTTAGCGCCGCACGCTAAGGAAACCCTGCGTTCCTCTTCGGAACGAAAACCTCGTTGTCGCTCTCAGCCGCGGCCGAAGCCATGTTTGTTCACACACAGGTGAAAACAAGCGGGGCACTAATATATTACTATGACTCACTCTGATTGGTTAAGGGTCAAACAAAGGCGTGTCATTCGCCTGGGGTAAGTTCCCTTTTCATTCAGAGGCAGAAATTCAACAGCAGAGCTGTGAATCGTGATAAAAAGGTCTCTCAAAAATGACAGACCGTCAGGTGTGTAGATCGTAAAACGGTCTAAAATCGTCATATCGCCCAGCCCTAATCCGGGTTTTTGGCGGTGTTTACAAGGACCTGCGGAACCGGGTTATTGTGAATATTCGGGTTTTAAAAGGGTTACTGGCTGCATGTAAACGCACTGGATGTTAACTTGGCATTTGAATCTCAGTAGGGTCATCTACATTTTCAATTTCAGCCCAACGAGCTTCATAATCTTAAGCAGCATCAACCTTATAAAAACCTTCCCTCCCCTAATGGGTCGTGCTGCTCATGAGGAGGGAGCTTATGGGTCTATATTAGCTGTGATGGCGTGCATAGGTCCATCTTTATGTAGCCTAACCCAGATACAATCCGTGCACTGCCACAGCACACTGTACACACCCTAGGACAACAACACACACACACACACTCCTGAAGAGCTATGCCAGGCTGTGTAGAGGATGGGGACTGAATGCTAATTTCATGTTTTGCTGTAATCCTCTGATATTGACACTCCTGGGAGCTGCTCCACTAAATACAAAATAATCTATTGCTGTATGGATCCCATTCCAAATGCATGGCCAACAAGCTCGCATCCTTAATGTTTAATTTGGAATCCCCCCCCCCCCCCCCCCAAAGACAACTTCAAAGAGCTGCTAGCCGGTCTTGATATGTTGCATCAATATTGTAATGTGGCAGGAATATGAGAGCTGCCGTTGCATGAGATAGGAGAGTCCTGTCGCTCTACGTCTTTCTGTCTCTCTCTCTGTGTCTGTGTGTGAGATGGTGTTAGATATGGGGTTATTGTGCAGAAGCACACCTTTACCAACTCGGAGGTAAGACACACGGAGGCTAACTGTGATGATCTTCTTTTAAGCTGTTTCTGTTTGTCTCTTCCCCAAATTTACATGAAAAAGAGGAAGCAGATGATGTTATTTATGTTGATGCATGAAAATGAGGCGTGCCATTTAGGGGAACAGAAGAGGTAGTTTACATTTGTTAACTAGATCTGTCTTTTTTCTTCTCTTTTAATAAAGATCTAACTTTCTCCTTATATTATATTGTGGCTTTGCAGTTTTTGCCCCAAACTCTTGTGGATACACTTAACTTAGCTTTGCTATGGAATATTGCCGTGTTTGTGAATAATTTAATGGCTCTTATATGTTTTTCTTCTCCCCTGCTAATTCCCCATAGGGAAACAAACTCTCATCAGACGAGGGTAAACTTAGGTGCCCCCTCCCCAATCCTCACTTAAACGAAACGCCAACCAGCCCGGCTTTGTCTGCGACGCTCACTTTTAAAGCTTTAAGTCTTCTCGTGTGCTTAACTTCTACTTAAAACAGAACAATTGCTCACCTTTTGTGAAGCGAAGTTTTAATGAAGTTTCTCTTTATTTGTATCAGAACTTGAGAATGTTTCTTCTTTTTTATGTTGATTGCACGGGGAGTTATTTTCCCTTTGAGGAAAATGTTAATTGACCCCAAAGCCACTCACATTCTGAGCTAGGATTTGAACCCCCTGATGATTGTATGGAAACGGTTTCTGCCGTAAATAACAGATTGGTTCTGCACCTTTTGCAGAACCAGCTTGCCCATTGACCTGAGAGTTTCTCATTCAAATATCAATTATTTTTTTCAGAAAAATAAGTTATTTTAAAGGTGCTGATCTTACTTTCTTTTTGGCAATTGAGATTTTTATCAAGGGCTAAATAAAATAGTAATAAAATACAGGGCCTTAGGGTAAAAGCAACTTTTTTTAGCACTCTTCCTGTTGACTTTGAGTAGTAAAACCATCAAAAATAAATGAAGTGGGGGACCAAATGCTAGGATAATTCATGCAGCTTGCTTGTGGAATTATTAACTGCAGCCCCAACTGATCTCTTCTCCATTAGCCTTGCTCAGACCTTAGAAAAAGAGCAACACGGCGAGGTTAGCGCTGCCTTGATTTCTGGGCTGAGACGCTTGATCCTTCATCCTTGGCAAGAGCGCTCAGTGATTTCAGTACCTGAGGCTGAGGAAGTGCAGCTTCAGGAAGGGCTTCGCATTTCACCACTACCAGCTGCCCTCGCCAGCCTCTCATTGAGAAGCAGCCGCAGAGGGGGAATGCCAAACCTTTCTTGCTAACAAAGCCCACCCACACACACTCTAAACATGCAGCTTTTAGCTCTAATAAAGATTTAGGCTGAAACAACAGACAATAGCAAAGATCTGGTGTTTATGCTGTCAGGAGAGTCAGGAGACAGACAGACAGACAGACAGACACTTTCACAGTTAAATATTATGTGTTTAGGTTAGCATTTATAGATCTTTAAAATGATTAAAGCTGTTGTAACGAATCAGCAAACAAGCTTGTTTTTTAATGCAAACACGGTCACGTAACACTCGCCCCTTCCAATTCAGCCTATGTAAGAGAAACACAGTCACTCCTGTAGAAACCAATGAAGGCTGGGGAGACATTTCAGAAGTTAGACTAAGGTGTTAAAAAGACAAACGCACAATTAGGAGATAAGTTTCCTTTTCAGTTTGACCACAGAGAATTTATACCAGACACTAGGGGGTGCTAAAAGCAAGCAAAACTGCCGAGTGTGTTTTTAAGAGGCATGGACAAAATGTTTTAAGCTAATTTGTTTTCCAAATATGCCATTGCAGCTCTAACATGATTATGTAATAAATGGGTTATAATACAGGTCCTTTTTTAATTTGTTGTCTGTAGGGCTCCTACTGGGCCATTGACACCAACCCAAAGGAGGACTCCTTGCCAACTCGGCCAAAGAAGAGGCCTCGGTCTGGAGAGCGAGTGAGTGTCTCCATATCCCTGAAGAAATCTCAGTCCTTTGGTTTCCTGGTTTTCTCTTTTTATTCTATTCTGTTTTTAGTGATTTTTCTGGACCTTCTTTAACTCACGTTTCACTTGCACACACACATCCACACATGCACACACAGTGACAGTACGAGTTTACACACTGGTTTTGTCTAATTGCCTCTCCATGCATGCTAAGTGGTCTCTTTGTGTTTAAACAATGCTCTTCTCCACCATTATTGCACATGCATTAAAACATTGTGCACTCGTATAATTTTTTTAAAAACACCAGTTAATGCAGAAGTGTAGGTGCAGGCTGTTCTGAACAGAACCTCTGTTTAAATTATGCAAAGGTTTGGTCCTCCGTTGCACACAGCTGTACAGGGTTTTCAGGATCTCCTCAGATCCAGCTCATCCTTGAGCATCCCAGTGCACGAGCCTCGTCGTCCTCAGCGTGGTTAACCAGGGGCAGGGATGAACACGGATTATTTTTAACCAATGAAAGGAGACTTGCATAGAGATGGCCTAAGATGAAAAAAATCTTCATATAGTCACAGAGCAGCATTAAAATGTTTCACATTGCATCAATTATCTGGTTTAATTGTAGTTTGAGACTCATCAGGCACCTCTGCTGGCAGGTTTTTATTATTTTCTTAAATCTCTAGTTTGAGCGCGACACAAAGACAACTCAATGTGTGTTTTCTGTTGTACAAGCGCTCGGTGCTTAGCCCCTCCCCCACTCAGGCATCATTTGCCCAAAAGGCATTCCATTAAGAGTCACAGACATTGAAAATGAGTTTTTTTTAATCTCATTTATGTTTTCGTGAATTAAAAAAGCTGGTATTGTTGGCAGCCAATCCTCTTACAGTAAGCAGTTTTGGGAGACAGGCATGGCAGAGTTATCTCTCCTAGCAGTGTGCCTTTACAGTAACACCAGGGCATGTATGTGTTATACCGTATGTCTGGAAGTGTGGGGTGGGGCTGGGGGGTAAGGCTTGATCTTTTCAGAAAACAGTTTGGATGTGGCCTAAATAAAGGTGTAGCTCTCTTATATTAAAATTGTTTGTTTATTTAATTGTCCAGATCACATTTGTTGCTACCATGGCGTTGGTAGCTTTGCTCGTGCTACAATACTGTTTGTAATAATTGGATTATGTTAAATTTTTATTTTTATTTAATTATTGTTTTCCAATTCTCTGCCTCCAAACCCTACCCCCAACCTACACAGGCTTCCACGCCGTACAGCCTGGATTCAGAGTCTTTGGGGATGGACTGTATCATCTCTGGAAGTGCCTCTCCAACGCTGGCAATCAACACTGTGACTAACAAGGTACTACAGCTAGCCATCCAGCCTCCAGCTCCAACACACACCTGGCTACGCGGCTGCACCCTGACCCCACCCACTCCTCCAACCACCTACAGCACTATTCCCCACAGAGAGAGGCACACTTTTGTGGAGGGGAGATATACACACACACACACACACACACACACACACACACACACACACACACACACACAAGCATATGCTCATGTGCCTAAAGCTTCTCTTCTCTGCAACCCACACCAAAATACACAACTATCTGCCCTGTTGTACCTTTTTTCCTCTGAAACAACAGACACCAGGCTCTTGTTATCTTCTCTACGGAAAAACGATGCTCACACCGATACCGAGACCTTTTCACGTCCTCACACACTTGCAACAAAACACTCCCAGTGCGTTGTGAGGTTGCTGTATTCTCACCTGAAGCGCTGGTTGACACCCAGAGGTGTGTGTGTGTGTGTGTGTGTGTGTGTGTGTGTGTGTGTGTGTGTGTGTGTGTGTGTGTGTGTGTGTGTGTGTGTGTGTGTGTGTGTGTGTGTGTGTGTGTGTGTGTGTGTGTGTGTGTGTGTGTGTGTGTGTGTGTGTGTGTGTGTGTGTGTGTGTGTGTGTCATTCTGTGACCACGCTACAGGTGACCACCCCTGCTGCTGGCTTCTTCGTCTCCCAGTTTTTACTATTTATTTATTTTTATTTCTTTACATCCATAAAAGCGTGGAAGCACTTATACATCACAGAGCAAAGCTACAGGGACTGTTAGCTGGGAGTGTGCGGCTCACTCTGAAATTTAAATAGGCTTTTTAACCTTAAGCTCTCATCCTCTGGGCCCAGTGGGGGCAGCTCTCAGGAGCACTTTTAAAAAGCCTACAAGAGTCGCTTATTCATTTGCTACAAGCGTTTAAAAAAAAATGAATTTTTTTTTTTAAAAGAACGACGGTTTAGCGTGAGCGAGGGCCGGGTGTTCATGGGAAATATGAGACGTGTGTCAGGGGCTGAGGGAAACAGTCTGAGCATATGTCTCCTTGTGTTAAAACTTGTGTGCACATGTATAGCGGAGTATGTTACAGAGCGATTTAGCGTGTCTTGACAAATGTCAGAGACTACTAGCTGCAGGCTGTTTCTTTGAAGAACAGAAATGGCAATTTTTCATGTTTCTGCAGCAGACAGATATATAAGCCCAGAGTGTGGAGGAAGATGACCCTTTTCCGTTTCGACTGTCCGCAGCACCACATAATGAGGCCTCCGTGTTACACACTGACAGCTAAATCATGACTGCCATCAAATGTACATCCAGGGGGGAAAAAAAGTACTTCAGCAGCAGCCAGAAGACGTGAAACTAGCCTCACACGTCTGCTTTCTGATTATGAAAACCACTTTTCCCTTCGCCTTCTATTCACTTGATTGTGTCAGAAACTTTTAGTGGTAAAGTTGAACAGGGGAGGGGGAAAAAAGCTGAATATCAACAGATCGGAGGCCCCAGCTCCTTGGAGAGAGCTTGTTTCTCACCGCCTTACACTGTAAACACACGACAGGCCACGCCCTTTTCTGTGCACTGTGCCAAGCCACAGGAATTCCCTCTCTGTTTTTCTCTTTCTATTCCAGTTGCTCTCCCTCATTCCCGCCTTCCCACATAGACCAATGGGAGAGGCTGGAAGGGTGGCTATCGGACCAACAATAACCTCTGTTCTCTTTCCTCTTTCTGTCAGGTTTTCTTTTACATAATCATTCTCTTTTTCTATTTTCAAATTTCTTTGTCTCAAAAATGTGATTTTGTGCCTTAAACACTCGTGGACTGTGATGACGTTTCTGCAGTCATGTGTGACGACCAAGCGTTAAAATTAGGCTTACTTGCAAATGAGCAGTCTGCCTTTTATTTATTTATCTTTGGGTTGTTGAGTTCCTCTCTCGGTGTCTGTTCAATCCTGCATGCAGGGATTGTGCTCAGCGTTTGTTACCATTGTTGGAGACACCTGGGCCAGTCTTGCTTTGATTTCATAATCCCTGTCTCATGCTCTAGATTAGTCCCCTCCCCCCATGTGAAAGACACCTCTGGCTTTTAACTTAATTCACTGCTAAGAATAGCACTCCGACTTGGTTTCTTAATAACCACACACAGTCGTTACTGTGGAGCCGCTCCTGCCTGTACGAGCACGTTGGCCCAAGCCGGTGTGTATTTATGTGTGCTCATCCTACCTGTGTGCACATCTAATTGTAGTAAAGTGTTTTTGTCATAGGCCAGTGCGTGCTTCTAAGTATGTGGGTGAGACGAGACGCGGCGTTAGACACACAACTCAAGTAGGTGTCTTCACTTGGGGTGCTCGGTGGGGCTGGGTAAACCACAGAGCCGTGAGGTTTTGAAATCATCACGCTTTATGGTTGAGTAAAAATAGATCGTGGTGAGAGACTAAAAGCTTGTTTTATGACTTTGTTACACAACGTTTATATTTTTGTGGCTCGCTGTTTTTGATTAGCATCGTAGAGCTGACTCTCTTAGATGTGCCTGAGTCTTTAGTCTTAGCCGCTCATTAAGTTCCTTCTTCACGCTAATGAACGCTGGAGCCAAGCTGGAGCTGCCTAATGAGTGCCTCCTTCTAAACTCCAAGTCCTGCTCGTAGTCCGCCTCACCTCACTTCCATGAGTGGCGGTGCCCACTTTCAGCGTTTCTGCAGGAGCCAAGCTCCCGTTCTAACAGGTTAATCTGGCTGGGCTCTAACTGCTCGTTCTGGATTGGAACCAGCATGTTTGTCAGCCGGCCAAACAAACATCAGTCGGAGCAGAGAAGGCAGCCGGCGCTGCCTGTGTTCCACGCCTCCCTGCGCGGCCTCTGTGTTGGCTCGCCGTGGCTCGACGGAAAGACAAGAGGCTTCCGTCTGCTGCTGTGAGGCAGGCAGGGTGCTGGGCAGCCTGAGGAATCCTGCCACGGCTGTCTTATTGTGCTCAGCACAGAGCCTGCTCTGTTCCTATGAGCAGAAGCCATCATGCACTCAGCCACGGAAGGACACACAGGCATCTTAAAATACCAGACGCTTTCCCACTGCAACAGCGTCAGGGCATCCCTGCCGTCCTTCTCTCAAAACACACAACGCGCACAGTCTTTTCCCTGCGGGTGTCATTATATTTATTATCTGGTTTGTGCTTTCTATCGTCTTAATTGTCTGATGAGCACTTTATTTAGGCGGGTGGGAGGGCAGAACCTCGTTAGATGGTAATTAGGACTGTCGTCCTGAAGTGCTTCGGCTAGTTTTTGCTCCTGCATTGAAAGGTCAGCGTCTTGGCTGCACCGAAACCCTTTGTTGGCTGTCCCAAACTGATTTGCGCTTGGTGAGCAGATGTGTGTGACATCACCAGTGCCGTGACCTTTAACGGTGTCTCGGCTGTCTCCAGACCCCTTTACACACTCTGTAAGAACCCCTCTGTGGGGATGTTTAGGAGCACCCTGTGTCTCCCAAACACACTCAAAAAATAAAACAACTAATCTACTGTTATGACATGTCTTTCTATGACACACACACACACACACACACACACACACACACACACACACACACACACACACACACACACACACACACACACACACACACACACACACACACACACACACACACACACACATTCACAGGCTTTACGTTTCCACATAAATAATAAATATCAGAGATGACCCTGATGATGGTGATTAGCATGTGTTCCTGTGGGTTTTGAGGCGTGAAGGCTTATGCATGTTTGTGTGTTTCAGGTGGCGTTGTACAACACAGACCAGGAAGGTAGTGATAGCCCAAGAAGCAGCCTTAACAACAGCCTGTCTGACCAGAGTCTGGCCTCCGTCAATCTCAACAGTGTGGGCAGTGTTCACAGCTATACACCGGTAAGAAACCACCAAGAACAAGCCTGATGTTTCTCAATGAAGAAAAGATGATTTCAGGTGTCTTTCTGGGCCTACAAACCCTGGAGTTCCTCTTGAATGTAACCTCGTAAAAAAGTTTTGATCCAGCCAACAGCGGGGAAAAAAAGGGGCCTCGAGGAGCATCACGGACCAATGCCTGTCTGATTTAAGCTGATATGAAACATGGAAGAACAACATAATGATGCACCAAAATCCGCTTTAATTGGAAATTTTAAAAAGTGAACACAGGATAAATATAATGATTCCTTTTTTTATTGTGCATGTTTTTTAAAAGCCAATTATCCTTCATCTGGAATATAAAACTGTTAGTATTAAATCATCTCATTCCAGGAGATTTTGTCTCACAGCCATCTGTTATTCATTTCAGGATCTTTTCACCTATTTTTGTATAGTAGTTTACTTTTAAATCCACATTTTTAGTCTGTTTTAGAGCCACGGGTACCGAAGGAATGAAAGTGAAACACTGGCAGTTGTAGAGAGTGTACTGTATTTCATTTAATCGGAAAGCCCCAGGAGGCCTTCTTCAGTGAAGCAATAGACGGCAGTAGACAGAGGTTCAGGGTGGACATTCGCAGGAGTACAACATCAGGAAGGGGGTTAAGAAAAACAAAGGAACATGCGCTCGCTCCTGGAAGCCAGACAAAGAGAAGCTCTCCCTGTGATGTCCTCCCACCAGAGATGCCCCCTCTTTGGTGTGGTCCTCCTGCATCCTGGAGTGCTCCCTGCTCCAGGCACTGAGCATCGATCGGCTCAGCCTGATGGATGTGCTCGCTCTCTCTCTTTCTCTCACTCCCCCCCTTCCCTCCCTCTCTCATCCAAAGCAGCAGCTCACAGTAAACACTTTGGCTTTATTATCACCTCTTCGCTCTTCCCCGAGCCAGTCTGTGAGCCACGCACTTCAGCAGCATGTCCACATGTTAGAGGAGGAAGATGTTGGGATCAAAAATTGAACGTGACCTCTCTTGTAGAGTGAGCCCACAGCGGACACGGGTCAGGTCCTGCTCTGTAAAACGAAATAGGTTTGCATCAGTGGCCTTGCTGTGGTAAGTCTTTTAGACAAGCCTTTCGCTGGAGGCAGCACTGCTTGCTGTCTCACACCCAGAGGCAGCCAGTAACATTGACTGCCCACACAAGTACACGTATAAAATGGCTGCTTATTTGTACAAAGGTATTGCTATTGATTTTGTTTTAAATACATTTTGCTTAGCCACCTGAGTATTGGCTTTGTGTCCATTTCAGTTGCTCTCTTAATGTTGCATGAGGCAAGGTGGTAAGCTTTGTTATGGTATGTGGGATTTATGTTGTATGATCAACACGTTTTCAGACTGTTAGAGATGCGGCACAGAAGACTCTACCCTTTAGTTGTTTGTCTTTTATCTGGAGTAGCATTAAATATCCCGTTTACTCCATGTGATCCTTGTTTTTTCAGAAACACGATCTAAGTTTTACATGCATGCTGAATATGACTGTTGGCTTCAACCCCCGTCGCCTGCTTTAGCTGCAAAAAGGAAAAAGGCGGAAATATGATCGGGTCAGAAAAAACGGTTTCTTCTACGTTGCCCTGGATTCACCCACCTTGACGTACGCCCACAGACAGCTGAGCTGATGTTACAGCCAAGAGCAAACAGTGCGCGTCTCAGCTAGTAGGAGCTAACCGTTAGCATTAGCAAATCATGGCAAAACATGTTCAGGCTTGTTTGTGGAAATAAAACATCAGCCTTGCGTTTTTTACCCAAAAATTAAAGAGCGATCAAAGGCAGCTGAAGAGCCTTGTTGCTGCTAGCCAATCAGAGGCCAGATGCTCGCATATCATGAATAATAATTAGCCTCCGAATCGTGTTGTTTTCTTCCCACCACTTCTTTGGCTAACTTCTACTTCCTGAAACAGGAGCTCCAGCGCTTTCTTCCGGGCAAGATGACCTATTCATACTAGAGACCACTGTAGATTTAAAGTGCGGTTCACTAAAATACCATTTTTTAATGATTATTTCTGATTATAATCGTTCAGAGTTTTTTTATACAGGCTGAACATGAAACTGAACTGTTTGTTTTAACTGATGTGCCTGGTTTTTAGTCTTTATTTGCATGTACTTTTTAGCTAAAATTCATGTTTAGTCATTTTTACTCCTTATGATGTATCCCTTGTTGTAATGCTTGTTGTTTTTACACTGCTGTGTTCAGCGCTTTGGGCTGCCTTGGTTGGCAGCAGGAAGGCGCTCTATAAATAAATGAATGAATGAAAATAGTCTCCTACATATATCTCATGCATTAGCTTCTGATAAATAATAGATGGTGAAACTCTAGGATTAGAAAAGCCTGACAGATCTACATCACACTGTCACTTAACATTCATGGACTCACCCATCTTGATTCACAGCAGCGAAGGCTGTTATTGGTTTAGCATCCAGGAAATAGCAGAGAACGTCTCGGGATTGTAGAAGCTAACTGTTAGCATTAGCAACTCTACCACACAGCCGAACTCTTCCAGGCTTGTGTTATTCGTGGAGATAAAACATCCACATTCCAAGTCAGTGGTAGATTTGTGTTGTTATCTAATTTGAGTTGAGATATTAGGAAATGGGACTCCAAAACCTTCCACCTGAAGCTCAGCTGTGATGTGGGTCACTTCTAATTCCTGGAAATAGTGTGAACCACACCTTAAAAAAGAAAAGAAAAGAAAATGAAACAAGTGAATAAAACCTCTAAATATTCCACAGGGTTTTATTTCCCAGCTGCATAGCCAGAGGCCATGTGAGATCTATTTGGAAAAATAAGTATCATTGGCGTGTCTAAGTATGCTTTTCTTAGTCGTCCATCAGTCTGTGCCGGTCTTCTGTATTAAAACCGTTCAGTGTGATTTTGTTCGCAGAATTTGTGTTAATCTTTTTATTTTTCCTCCAGGTGACCAGTCACCCAGAGCCTGTGTCCCAGTCCATGAGCCTGCAACAGCCTCCCCAGTCCCAGTACAGCATGCCAGACAGAGACAAGCAGCTCATGTTCTCAGAATTCGAAGATCTCAGTGCCTCCTTCCGCAGCCTTTACAAGTCTGTTTTTGAGCAGTCCTTCAGCCAACAAGGTGAGCGGCCTCGCGAGGGCACTGAACGAAAATCTAATAAAGAACCTGAGCTATACTTATTAAAGTAGCATAATAATGCTCAGAGCTGCTTTCCTAATGTGGGGTCGCTCCTAACAGCTGGTGCTATAGAAAGTCTTTAGGCACTAATGAGGTTTACTGGTATTAAGCAGGCTCACTTGGCTCTGATGCTAATCTATACGAAGAATGTTCATGGTCTCCCCGTGAGGGAAATGTTAAAAGAGCTGGTTTTACATCAAAGTGTGAGTCTGGGAGATCATGTCTTAAATATTTCATTAAGTGATGTAAAGAGATATAAAAGAACTTTATGGTTATTTCTCCTCTATAGTTTTGCCATGACATGAAAGTTAAACGTGCCTGTTTATGTTTCAGATGGACTCTTATTTTTTTATGTGAGCCATATTTCATCAGTGGAGTGGAAGAGCAGCCAAAAAACCTCTGTTGGCCTCGAGTTTGATTTATCGTGATTATGGGATTTTCTATCATATAATGCATAAAAGGGGGAGGATATTAGAACTTTCCCAAAAAAATCTAAGTCCCAGCAGGACAGAAAGCAGTTCTGCTTGTAATCTGATTGACTAAGCACTTGACAGTTGAGGAAAGTAGACTGAGCTTTCTGTGTGTAAGCCACTTTCACAAATCAAATGCATTTCATGCTAATGAGTCTCTGTCCTTTAATCTATCATCTATGTTTCATTAGTTAAAAGTCCTGCGCATAAAAGTAAAATCTCGTCAGACAAGCTCCAGCAATTAAAAAGCGTAAATAATCGAGCTGGAGGATTTCACACTCTGCCGCCGTAGACAGTGAGCTAATTCACCTGCTTTGATAATAGGTAATGAGCTCGCATTATTATTCTGGTGCCGCGTTAATTGCTTTCTGTATTTCCCTAGTTGGACAATGGGCTTTCTGCGCCGATAAGAGATGCACCTTTGTCACCCGTGCAGTGAATGTTATGTGCCGATTGTGGAGGTACAGGGCTCGAGTCGGCTCTAAAAGCACTCCAGTGAAATAGGTTTAGTGTGCCAAAAGCTGTGAAGGACGGGGCCTCTTAAGACCACTCCCCACCACTCAGATGATTGCAGTTGGATGTGCAGATGTTCATGCTCCAGTCATGTCAGTTTAAGAGCACAGAAACGAAACGGGACTGGGGGGGGGGGGGGGGGGGGGAGACGGCTCCATACCGATGCTGAGTCATTCCTCCGTGCAAGAAAATGGCAGCAGGTCTACCTCAGAGTAAAGTCATTAGATGTAGGAGGCTCATATCCCATCACTGTTTTATTACAAGCCCCCTTTGGGCAGAGAAGTTTAGCTAAACTCTTTGTGTGGTTCAACACCTGGAGCTGCGTTCAAAAAGCCTTTTATGACAACTTTTATATGTCAGTTATGCTAGTAATTTACCCCGCTTACAAAAGTTTGTTTTTTCAATGAATAACTTATGAAAGACCACAATTTATTCAGTTCTTCCATAAAGAATGCATCTTGTTGGAAATACTCTCATCACAGTTGACATGATTACTAAGGATAACAACATCAGCATTGGTCCGATAAATAAAACAGTCATTTTATTGCCATTGGCGTCTGTGTTTCAGGAGGGGAGGGGGTTGGTCATGCAGCAAAAGGTTTGTGGGGTGTTTAACTGAAGATGAGAAGCAATTCAAGTGGTTTGTTCACTTTTACAAGATGTCAGAAGTGTACTGAAATATCTAACAATATAAATGCATATATATTAGTTAGTAGGGGTGTGTACTCTGGAGAAGCGATAAATATATATCACAGTACAAGACAGACGATACGATATACTGCATTACTAAAAGTCATTTAAAAAATAATTTAGACTGAATTTAATCGGAAAAATCACGACAGATGCTTCCAAGAAGCTTCCAGAGTTGATGTGAGATCTCGGTATTCCTTCAGCATGAAGGCGGTTAAAAAAAACACCATCTCGTGGTTGGGGTTAGAATTGCACCACGCAAAAGAAATACAGTAAATGTTTGCATGTAAATTCTAGAAAAAAAAATACGCTGCTTTTAAATATTGATTCAGTATTGTAAAACAAAATGTCACGTTTATCCTGTGTATTGATATTTTCTTACATCCCTGTTGGTAAATAAAAGTCCCATTAGTCATCTCACACTGGTGAAGTTCATCTCCGCATTTGACCCATCCCCGTGGGGAGCGGTAAACCGCAGCTGTGGCCACGCTTGGGAGTTATGTGGTGGTTTAACCCCCAATCCAACCCATTAAAGCCGAGTGCCTAGCAGGGAGGCATTGGGTCCCATTGTAAGGTTTTGGTATGACCCCAACGGGATTTGAACCCCGATCTCCCAGTCCCGGTGTGGACACTGTACTAGTAGGCCACAGAGAAGTTTATCAGTTATCTGACATAATAATATACAGTAAGTATTGGATATGGACCAAAGTTTTTGTATTTGTGCATCTCTAATGGATACTCATTGACTTGGGAAACTAGCATTATTTATTTCTCTACCTAACCCTAACACAGAATCGTAATCATTTTTGCCCATTACATTTTTGTCATTAGGAGCTGAAATTTCAATAGAAATAAAATTTTGTTGTGCAGCAGAATATTTGACTTTTTTAAACCTTTTTCCATATTTGTTTTTGGTCTGATCAAAGTCTGATGATCAGATTGATCATTTGATGTTATTGGCATTATTACTTATCAGTTCATAGAGAAATCATCTGTACACGTACTTAAACTCTCAGTAGATCTTCATACCAGCTAAATGCATCCTTCTGTGTGTTCTGGTCCCGTTCCAGCCCTCTTACGGCTTTATGTTTGTGTGTTTCGTGTTTTCCAGGTTTGATGGGATTACCCTCGGATTCCTCCCAGCAGACCCACACCTCCTGCTCCTATCAGCACTCCCCCAGTGGCACCATAAGCACCCAGAACAACCTGTCAAACAACCAACCCAACAGCCACCCCAACAACCACCCGGCCAACAGCGGCCAGGTGCCCCTGTCCCATCCTGCTCAGGTCCATCCTGGCCATGGCTCCCCCCACGCACAGCACCTCCCGCAGCATGGCGGCACTCACAACCAACACAGCCAGCACAGTCAGCACCCCCAGCACGTTGCGCACCCCCAGCACGGGCAGCACCCGTCCCACGGCCAGCACCCGCAGCAACGCGCGGCGCATCCCTCCCAGCACACGCAGCACCAGAGCCTCTCCCACCAGCCCCATCCCACCCAGCAACAGATGGCCTGCAACACAGGTAAAACCTTTTGTCTTCTCCACATCTGATCATCACACAGATGACATGTTTACAGCAGATCTTTCGTCCTAAATCACAGCGATAACCGTTTGAGGTGCTACACGGTAAATCATCATCTCATTTATTGCCTTTGCTGCAGAGAACAAAGCAGCAGCAGCTTTTACAGAGTCCGCTGGTTCCCCCTAGTGGCCACTTCACTGTCCTGACCTGTTCAACATGCTTCTTTCTCATTTACTTGACCTCAGAGAGATCATGTGACCTGGTTTGTGTGTTTCAGGTTTACTGTCGGACTGGTACCAAAATCTGGATGCACTGAAAGAGAGCTGTCGCATTGCCAGCAGCTATAACTGGGCTGATGTTGACCTTTCACCTTTCCAAGGTACAACTGAACAAATGGAACTGAATTTTTTTTTTTTTTTTCAAATCTACCTAATAATGTTTTTTTATTTCAGTTTATATTTAGATATGTTTTCTATGGCATAAGCTTTGGATGCCAGATGTAACCGATGTCCACTCACGTGGTCAGAAAACCCAGACATCTAAAACTGAGCCGATTGTTCAGCTCTGCCCCGGGTTTTTGATTGAGAGCTGATGTGTCGGCACTATAGAGTTGATTACAGCTTTAATTAAACTGAGCTCTTCAATTAAATAACACTGCCTTCAAGTTTAATTACCGAAACGCCAAGCTCAGCAGGTCAGTTTATCCAATTAGAGTCTAGAAATGCAAGGTAGGGTGTTTTAATTTTATTTATTTTTTTAATATCACCCACTGAAGGTTACAGACATAATTAATATAGGCTGTAGCCATGTTTCTGCTTGGGAAGGGATTTCCAAGCAGAAACATGATAAATGTGAAAGTGTTTCATGTTAGAGGAGTTTCATGAGGAAGTCTTTGAGTCACTGAGTGTAAATTTGTGTTTTTGTCTCTAAGGGTTGAAAGAGAGTATGAGACAGGCTGAGCTGAACAATTGGTGCCTTGATACCACCCAGATCGCAGACCTCTGCTCGTCTATCAACCAGTTCTTCGCCCGCACCGGAGTAATTCAGCCACAGGGGGCAGTGCAGACGCCTGTTTGCCACGGTGCCATGCTCACCAACAAACCCAGCCAGCACCTCAACACAGGTGCACAACCAGATTTTCCCAGAACGCATTAATTCAGTGTGAATGGAAACATGTGGATTTTATTAATGAGGAACAGTTGGGACTGGTTTAAAATCGTGTTAGATGATCAGAGATGGAAACAGTCCAACGTATCATTGCAATTGTAGTAAACCTCCAGAGAGCTGAAACAAAATCAGACGGATTAAAAGACAATGAATGGTGGATTTCACAGTATAAAGAACCTACTGAGTGGAGAGGAAAATAAATCTAAATTAGTGATAGAATTTCTAATAGAGAGAATTGAGGTTTTCTTTTTTATTTATTTATTTTTTATTATTTTATCCTGTAATTTTTTTCACCCTTATATTTTGACCCACATTCCAGCTCAGTAGAAATGCAACTACAAGCTAGATGCCGCCTGCCATTAAACAACAGAAGATGAAGGTTGAAATATTTGGTTTTATGTTGCTTTTTTCTGCAGGTGTACATATCTTTGAGTTAGCAGTAAATGTAGTTTAAAAAATAATGTTCCAGTTTGTTTTTATGTTAATTTTCTGCATAGTTGAGACATTCATGAATGGGTAAATGACTGCGTACTAAGGTCAGGTAATTGGATGAATCTGACCATCAGTGATAGTTTGAGCCCTTGGCTGATATGTTTTCTTATGCCTATGATTTATTTTCGTGAATGAGACATTACAAATATCCAATTGAAATCACACTCTATATTAATGTATACGTTTTAGCCATCATTAGAAGGTAGGATTCTTGTATTCCAATGATGTATGCCATTCAAAGATGCAACCATGACTGTAAATGCTTTTGTCCGACCACTCAGACATTCACAACGTCTAACTCACCATTCAAAACCTGGCATCAGACCAAATATTCATCTTGAACAAAAATGGTTGGTCCACAGTAGGTCTTATGTTCACAATCCAGCAAAACAAACCACTGAAAACATTAAAAGTTTCCTTCTGATGCGTCTCTCATCATGAAGTTCATCAGCATCCTCATATTAGCTTCAAACTTTTCATCCACACCTAACTTGATATAACAGGTGGACACCGCCTGGTACTACATCCTCAACAAGTGGATCAGAAGGACTGTTCCCAGTGCTTAATTTGTAAATCAAACATTCCCAGAACGCAAATACTGATGTCAATCCAAAGTTCACTAAAGGCAAAGTAGATGCCGGAACATGCACACGTTACTGTGGCCCTGCTCAGGACGCAGCTGTCTGGAGCACAGCAACGATTGGAGCTCTGCGCCTCTCAGCTCAAACTAATTCCCGCAGAGTCCACATAAATAATGTAATATAAGTAGAACAGGATCTTTTTTGGGCTCCCTCTGGGTGCGTAAGTTGAGGGCTTCCATGGGAGCCTGTCACCCTTTTGGGTGAGCCGGGCTCCCTTTGGTTGCGTGAGTTGTGGAACCTAGCAGACAGTTGCCGGAACAGTCCTTTCAAAATAAGACAGTTGCCAGATCTTGTTCCGGCAAGATCCGGCTCAAATTAACCCCCGACCGTCCCCTATTCTCACATGTAGCTCAAACCAGTTACGCCACAGTTTATTGTTTCTTCAATAATAAAAGTCTGATACAAATCTTTATTTCCCTCTTCAGCAAATCTCTACATGGACTCCAGACAGAGCATGCCCATGATGGGACCCCCAGGTTATCCCCACATGCCCCCTATGAGCAGCACAGGACCCGCCATGACAGGTAGCACGTAGCTGCCAGCAAGGCCCCATTAAAGCGGCTATCACAGGCACTGACTTACCTTTGCTTTTTTTAATCCAGGACACCACGCACAGATGAACCAGCAGCACATGATACCTTCTAGAAACTTCCAGATGCATCGCATGCCTGCGGATGACATCCAGGATGATTTTGACTGGGACTCCATCGTCTAGCAACTAAGACCCTCTCGCCCCCTTTGTTGCAGTTAAATCCGAGCGAGGAGAGGAAGTGTAACCCGGAGGAAGCCAGGCTGAGCTGACAGGAGGAGGAGGTGGACACGGTCTGCTGCAGAAGGACACTTGGACACGTTTCAGAGTCTTGACAAGGCGAATCATAACCAGAATATGTTACTTGGAAGACAATCATATTTAGTCGGACATGTTAATGTGATCAATTACAAACTTGTGTAGAGACAAGAGGGACTCATTCACATCTAAACCACATGGTCCTCAGCTCTTCAGCCAGCCCTCTCCTCCCCCCGACCCCCCTGCTCCGTAACCGTTATGTGATTTGAGCGCCGTGTTCAGCTTGTAATTTTCTCGTATTGACATTGGCCTCAGCTGCCTCTAAGATGATGTTGTCTCCCTCTTTTTTTTTCTTCTTTGTTTTTAAAGTTTTGTTTAAAGGAAACCCAGGCCGTCTCTGTGAGTAACGCCATGGTGTTTGTCAGTCACTTTTGGGAGAAATCGGGCGCCGCTGTGGCACAATCAGTGGTTAAGTCAAGTTTACAAAAATCTGAGGTTTTGATCAGGGTGTTGAATCATCATGAGCAAGCGGGGTCACACTCTCGTGATTGGCTCTCATCCTTAGTTCTCATTCTCTAGCCCTTCAGGATGACTGGTGATGGTGAGTAGGTGAAAACATGGATGTGAAGGACTGAATCTGTTGTTTTGCTACGTCAGGTTTAGGCTCTGTGTGCGTTGTGTTGGTTTGTAATCAAAGTTAAGCCCAACAAAGTCACATTAATTGGGTTTTGTTTTAAGGTTTCGGCCATTGATCATTAAACAGAGAAATCGTCTGAAACAGGTTATAAAATAGATCACTTGACTTCAATTAGCGCTGAACACTTCTGTAGCAGCTGCAGTTCAACAGTGATCAGTAAAACAAATACTCCATCACTGCAAGTATTATTCATGTCATTAGACTAAATAAAAAAACTAAAATCATTTCAAACTTATGAAAGTTAAGATTTTAAGTCGTATTGAGATCATTTATTCACTTTTTTATTATTAATTATTCTATAAATGATAAATACCAGTTATTGAATATGTTTAGATTTAAAACCAACCATTAAAATGGAGAGATTTAAAAGTGGGAGTCAATCCCTCAAGTTAAAAGCCAACATTTTTAGTTCCTAAAAAGCAGCAAACCTCAAATCTGATTGTTTTGTTTAATGATCAGTAGAAAAAAGACGAATGTACCAAAATTATTCTTGCAGTCGTAAAGTCAAACGTTAACAGCTGGTGAACATTTTCTTTAAAGTTACGCAATTAAAATTATGGAGATTCCCACAACAGAAATGCATCTCACTCCGTAGTGTGTGTGTGTGTGTGTGTGTGTGTGTGTGTGTGTGTGTGTGTGTGTGTGTGTGTGTGTGTGTGTGTGTGTGTGTGTGTGTGTGTGTGTGTGTGTGTGTGTGTGTGTGTGTGTGTGTGTGTGTGTGTGTGTGTGTGTGTTACTTTTAGGGCTGTGATTGCTGCGATCATCTCTAGAGCACAAAAACAGATGCAGTTGTGCGTTTTTGATGGATAAAGGGTTCCTCAAGCACAGATCGGAGAAAGGCAGTAGTTCTGGGAATCGAACCCCCGAGTCCGGTTCAGTCAGACGGGTGCTGACCTGAAGAGACTCTGCTTAAAGAAAAACCAGCCCTTTGCACTTGTGAATCTTTTGTTTACGTTAAGACCTAAAGATGCAGAGCGCCTCCTTCTGGAGACTCTGGTGCACCTTTTCACTCGCAGGAGGGTTTTTCTGTGCTCTGCTTCAGCGGCGCTGTCTTCATAAAGGGACGGTGAAATATGTGGAGAAGTCACTGACACATCTGGAAGCTACAGCTTCCTGTCAGTTAGCACAAAGCCTGGATACGCCTAACCTCACCACCTGTTTTCTGTCTAAATCGGTCTCCCAGCCCGATGAAAGATCACATAAACACTTGATCTGCTGACTTTTCTGCTGTTACAATTCTCCGTTTATGGATTGAGCATAACCGTGACTAGAGTCAGAGCTGTGCAGCAGATAACGGGACACGTTTTAAATGTGATGATTAGGGATTTAGAATATATTTAGTATCGTGGCACATTTATTTAAGGTCAGATTTTTCTTAAGTTTGCTCCATTCAAACAAAAAAGGATTTGGAATCCTGCAGCTAACGGAATGAATCTGTAGGAAATATGAATTTTAATGTTTGATCCCTGATCCTCCCGCCCACTCACACTCCCCACAGCTACATTTAAATAAACCATTTCTGACATTTTTCCCTTTTCTCTTCAGTTCAACTCAATAGAAAGATTTGTATATCTTCAAGCTTCAACTTATTTTTTTCAATTGATTTAGTCTCCCAGGGTTAAAGGTCATTTTCACCTTAAGTCAGTAATTATAGATGACGACGCTAATCTCAAGCACAATACCTCAAACACGTGTTTGCAACATTTACTTGAGCATTTTTCTTTTCATATTTAATCCAAATCTTGTCCAACAGCTTCCAGATTTTCTGCTAAACAAACATAAAAAGTTATCCACATCATCTTTGCGTCCAAACGTCAACAAGAAAAACATCCAAACTGAATTTCTGATGGTTTCTTTAGAGGTTTTTGTCTGCAGAGACTCCAGCTGTAGTTTTGATTTTATATTTGATGACAATCATGAATTCATTTGTATATTTTTTTTATAATATCACTCTGTGTTTTATTTTGGAGAGAAAAAAAAGGCACTTTCGGGTTTCATTTGGTGGTTTGAATGTTAGAGAACCACACTCGGCTCGGGTTGTTCTGTAGATCTCTGACTGTGTTCTTTAAGCTTTTGTTACTGCCGCTGGTTTAATTCCCCCCCCCCCCCCCCCCCCCCCAATATTTCAAGTTAGTCTTGAGATTTTACTCTATCAATTGTTCTCTTCTGCTGCGTGTGTATGTGTGTGTGTGTGTGTGTGTTAGCCTCACCTGTGTTTTTATTTAAAGACCGCCAGGTTTTCACCAAGTCGTGACTCTTGAGGTGAATGTGGGCGGAGGACACAATCCAAAAGGAGTAAAAATGAGTGTTCGTCTGTGTGAGGTGTTTTCACTCCTCCAGGTGAAGAGTGAAAACACAAACACGTCTCGGCCCACAGGAGATAAAAGAATCATGTTAACGGATGTGGGGAAAAAGGAAAGGTTTGACTGTGTGTGCGTGCCGTGCGCGTGCGTGCGTGTGTGTGTGTGTGTGTGTGTTGTAAGTTTAAGCTCTTCTTTTTTCAGTTAACAGTTAAAATGTAGACATGCAGCTGGACATGTATATGCCAGAGAGATTATCATCATCGGGGTAACAAAATAAATACTAACAGGTGACTAAACCATGTTGCATCATGGGAGAAAACTGCCAACATCTACTGCTGACTGGGGCCTGTTTTATTCAGTGCTGGTGTGTTGTGGTTGTACATATGTGTCTTTTCAATCATCCCCTTTTTATTTTTATTCTCTCCTCTGGGGGGTTGTGCTATGGAGGCAGAGGGTGGGTTTTATTCACAAAAGAGGAAAAAGGGGAAACGGAATAAAGTATTTTGTTATTGTCCAATCAGAGGGTGACAGTATGTATATATCTATATTGTATATATGTGATGAAAATGCGTTGGCTTTTTGTGTGACACTACCTTTTATCTGTACTATGGTTCTACATTCAGTGTTTCAGTGTTGAAAATATGTATTTAGTTTGTTTTTATTTTGTCTTTGTCATTTCCTGTACTGTTTCCCCTCATTTTTTCCTGTTTTTGTTTGTTTACTGCACGATTATTACTTTTTGTTGTCCGATGAGGTGACACAGCTACTCTTTGTATTTGTTTAGTGCTGTAAAATATCTCAAGTGTTATTAGAATTGTCAAACCGACGTCTACACCCCCCCCCCTCCTCCCCATTATGCATGAATGGCACTAAAATAAATAAAATATTCACTGTGCATTAATGTGATAATTATGCTTTTTTGTTCAGATGAACAGTTAATTTTACAAATTTTACTAGGAGCACTGGTAAAAGTAACTAAATATATAAAACATGTTTTAATGCAATGATTTAAACTGAAAAATGTGTTTTTCCTGCTAATGTAAATCTCACCAAATAATCATGCTCACTGGTGACCTAAGATACACAAAGTCTCTGCTCTCATTGAAAAGTCTGAAAATTGGTGATACATGTGTGTGACGTCTGACAAGTCAGAAAGATGCTAATTAAAACGACTATATTCCCAAAAAAAGGTCCAAATCCACAGAATTTTCCATAACTTATAGATTTTTTACAAATCTGCAAAAACTGCTTTACTTGAAATAAGATACATTTTGTTAAATATGAACACATTTTGTGGTTCATGATTAAAAAAATAAAACAGCCAATTGGGTAACTGAAAGTTTATTGCCTGGAATTTTTAAAGGTACAATAAATACCTTTGTCATTTTTTTAAATGATAAATGACTCACACTTGTATAGCGCCTTTCAGAGTCAGAGGACTCCAAAGTGCTTTACACTACAGTGTAAATCTCACACACACACACACACACACATGGTGGTGAGCTATATTGTAGCCACAGCTGCCCCGGGGTGGCTGGCGCCACCAATCCATCCAACCACCACCAGCAGGCAAGTTGGGTTGAGTGTCTTGCCCAAGGACACAACAGCAGAATTCTCTGTTCGGAGCCGGGATCAAACCTGCAACCTTCCGATTACTGAACAACCCGCTCTACCTGTTGAGATACTGCTGCCCCAAGCAAGACTGGGTCACTCCCAAAAAAGCTTTTTCTTGCTGATAAACTGAAAACGAGTGTGCAATAGTGGTGTGGAGGGGTCAGACGAGTCGCGGTCAGAAAAGCGTTTTCTGAATGACGATCATATAAAGAATATTTACCTGGTTTCAATTTGTGCCGTTTTTACAGATCAGACCTTTTCTTTTAGACCAAGAAAAAAGCCCTTTTTAACCCTTATATAACCCTTACATTTTCTAAGGTTTTTGTCATTCGAGCACAAAAAAATGCACTAAGGTCATTCAAGTGTTCATTGAAAATAGATTTTTACAGTGTACTTCCCAGCTGCTTCAGCTGCAGAGTGTTAACACAGAATTTACAGCTGCTTTCTGAGCAGCTTTGGCCAGAACAACCATGTTTTCACAAAGTGATGCAGCAGCGCTCTGAGAATGTGAGAGCATGAATAAAGCGTATGTCCAGTTGAAAATTAAGAGCAAAGATTTGTTTGAAGGACTGAAAATAAAATAATTGCTCAAATAAAGTTGTCAAATATTTGCAGAAGAAAAACTGAATAAAAGCTTCCCAGAATAGTGTAATCTAAATATTATCTATAATATTAGTTTTCTCTGTGCTGGTTGTTCTGAGAAAGCTCTAAAACATCTCTGCACCTTCAGCAGGACACTGTCTAAAACCATGTGACATTTCTCAACATGTGTTCATGCCAACGTAACATGTGAGCTTCACCACTCAGGGATAAATACGTTCAATGGGGTGGGGCAGGTTATAAGTAGTTTGACTGAAACCCAGAAGGAACTGATCCTGTCAAGATGGACAAGATGATTGGAGCTTCCTGTTGGCTGTTACTGGTTCTGAACGCTCAGCGGCACTCATCAGCACCCATGCGTGAGCCTTCCAACCCCTCATCTTCATCACTGAAATAATTTAAGCTCAGAAAAATCTAAAAGTGTGTTTGTTAGGATAAATGATTCCAAAAGCTGACAAATAATAAAAAATAAAAAAACACTTTAAATTTTGTGTTTAGATGGGAGAATTAACAGAATCATTAAAACAACAAATATAAAATCAATAATTGTTGATTATTGCTACATGAATTTCAGGCTCAGATGAGTTGTATATAAAAGGTGAACACTTGCATTTAGTCTAATATCATTTGGATGTTTTAAGACGTCATGCCTTGACAAATTAACAGAAAGATCTCCTCTAATGTGTGTTGCAGCTGCTGAAGGTGTTCGTTCGTCTGGCGTGGAGGTTCCAGATACAGAAACAGTCTTTTCTCCTGCTGTGACGTCAGAAGAAGAAGCTTTAAATAACACAGGGATTGTTAAAGATGTGAGGATAAACTCTTTAGTAAGTGGAGACGTGGCTTCAGGTTCTGATGTCCACATCCCAGTAAAACTTGAGATCGATGAGGTGGATCAGGTGGGACAAGTTGTGGGAGAAACAGCACAAAAGGATGTAGTTCCTGTGGACTCTGCTGGGGAAGCTTTAAATCCAGGAGACGGAGAAGCAGTCTTCATCCGTTTGTCTCACATCAATAAAACTTTGAAAGAAGAAACAGATGTCTCCAAAGCGCTGGAACAGGTCGATGCAGCTAGTGGAACAAGCCTGGTTGGTCGAGAAGAACAAGAAACTAAAGAAGGAAAAACAGGAAAACATGCAGAAGAAGAAGCATTGGACCTTATGATGCTAGAAGGCCCTAATACTGGTGAAGAAACTTCCTGGTGGGACAGAGACAGAGGACGACCTTGTTTTTGTAGAATCCGAGATAGAAGGAAACACGACGCCGGACAAGTCAGGTCAATTAGACCCAGAAGCTGCGGGTCCTGTGGAGCCGGAAACAGAAGGTTTCCTCCTTCCTCGTGTTTCTACAGAGGTTGGAGAAGAAGGTGAAGGCGAGGAAGACATTTTTCAGACAAACACCGTTGAAGGAGTTCGAGAAGAGGAGACAGACGAGGAGGATTTTGGGGCGGCAGCACATTTTACAGATTTAACAAACGCTGCTGTGTCTGCAGCAGTCAGCAGAAAGGCTGACCCTCCACTCAACATCCAATCAGAAGCTCCTGTTTCTTCAGTACAAGAGGCACCTGTAGGTTAGAACGAAAAGAAGCTCAAAAAACCTCCTCTCTATAAAAACGATGTTTAATTACGGATAAACGTGAATTTTCAGCTCCAGTCAACCGAGGAGCCGTACTCAGGGTGGCGCTCCTCACACTTACATCTCTCGTCGTTGTTGGATTTGTTGGGATGACCATATCCAAGAAACTTCGGTGAATGAACAGCAGCAGGTTTGGTTTCTAAATCAATTAGAAAATCAATTTTTCCTTCACGACTCCTCTCGCTGCAGTACGATGACGTAAAACTCTTTTGAAGTTAAAAAGCTCTTCGAGGATGTGGAATGATGGTGAGCAGAACAAGCTTCACTGATGGATCTCAGAATTTCTCACCAGCCAGAGATACCAACTTTTACGCCACTTGCCTGAGACTCAAGCCTGTTTCTCTGATGCAGTGAAAGAAAATCCCAGTGGCAACACAAAAGTGGCTGAAGTCAGAGGAGAAAAGTAACTTCTTTAAAAAAAATCTACATCTGTATGTGAACTACGGATGGGGCGTGGGTCAAATCCACTTATACAGTCATATACATGAAACAAGTTTCAAGTTGTTTACTAAAAACAGACATGATGTTTAGTAGTTTGTGTCTGAGAGTTTTCACCTGAGGCTCTGGTTTCTGTACCACCCTAACTCTGTTTATAAAATATACAGATATAGGGTGTAAAAAATATTGATGCACTGTAATATTGCAATAGTTCATGTTATGATACTGAATCAATAATTAAAAGCAGTGAGTTGGTTTTTATTTACCGTAAATCCTCTAATACAGGCCGGTATTCAATTAAAGGCCGGGTCTCCAATTTCGGCCGGTGTCGGCGGAGGTGAATAATGGCCGGTCTCTTATTGTGACCGGGTGGAATGTGGTAACAAGCAAGTACGGGGGGCGGTTGTGTCATCGTCTCACTTTTGATTTGCCAGTGATAGACTGCGAGGGTAACTTTAACCGTGCAGAGACGAAGAGGAGGCGAAAATTTCATATCAAGTTCAAAGAGAACGTGCTGATTATGCTGCAGAACACTCTGGGGAGCAATAGCAGGGGTTGTATGAACTAGTCACTAGTCGACTTTACCGCTCTATAGTGACATTTTATGCCTGTCATCGACTAGTCGCTGTCACGTGATAATGACCGGCTAGATGCAGCCCTCGGAAAAGACAGCAGCCTGCTGTCAGCAGGTGACAAGCTCCTGCGCATCGGGGGGGGGGGGGGGGGGGGGGGGGGGGGCAACACGCTGTGCCAGAGCGTCGGTACTGACACGCGATCGTTCATGTCGGTTCATTTCCTTTAATGTTTTCTGTCTTTTATTTGCGCCTGATGTGTTTCGCTGCAGTGGAGCGGGGCACATCACCTTGTCCTCCGATGCACTGATCACTGATGCGGCCGCCAAGCAGGGAGCGCTCCGCTGTTTTCGCGGCCGGTAGATCTGCCTCCTGAGCACAGCCACAGTAACAATCAGGTGTCGCCACCTCAAAAACTAATTTAACACGCGATCGTTCATGTCAGTTCATTTCCTTTAATGTTTTCTGTCTTTTATTTGCGCCTGATGCGTTTCGCTGCATGCTGTGGAGCGGGGCGCTGCGCGCATCACCTTGTCCTCCGATGCACTGATCACTGATGCGGCCGCCAAGCAGCGAGCACTCCGCTGTTTTAGCGGTCGGTAGATCTTTTAGAACTGCAGTTCAAAGGTAACTCATGAGGTGAATATATATGAACCCAGGTAGCAGTTTCTCTTTAGGATTGAGAGGAGATGCAGGAAGATAATAAACAGGCAGGACAGAAAAATAGTCAAATAAAAACAAGTTAGTTTTTGTACCTGCTGGTTGCAACAAACAGACACCATTGAAGGTAATCAGAAGTGAGGAACAGAAAATGAAATAATTATTTTAATGTTTAGAGCAGCAGGAACTCCGAGAGGCTGCAGTCGCATCAGTGAGTTTGCGGCCGCTGCGCAGGGGGAGGGGGGGAGGAGGGGGGAGAGGGCTGAAGCAGAAAACACCGTTGTTAAAAGAAATGTGTTTAACTTTGAAAATGTGGGCGCAATTTTAATTGTCAAAAACTCCAGCGAACCATTAGTTCATTTTGCTCAAATAGAAATAGAGGCCTGCCTCTAATACTGGCCCTCCTTCCAATAAAGGCCTGGAGCTTGATGAGCTTGAGTCAAATACAGGCCCGGGCCTGTATTAGAGGATTTACGGTATTTTATTTGTGTGGGGCAATTCACACTCCGACTGCTAGGTGGCAGCAGTTTTTACAGCCTTTATTGAGGTGGAGCAACGAGATCCTGCAATAACACGGGTGGATCGTATCGCCTCCCTTGTATTGTCACACACATAACATATCATTTTCTCTGTATGGTGATATTTATCGTCCATCCATTCTAAACAGCTGTCCCGCACCATATTACACATCACATAAACCAGTTTAGAGTTGCAACGACCTTTTGAAAAATGCTGTTTATGATTTTAATGTCAGAGTTCTGAGGAAAAAAAGTCAGAACTCTGACATTAAAATGGATTAACTTTGTTCTTTCCCATAGATATTTATTAGAGATGTTTTGTATGTGAAAAACCACTATCTTCGTTCTTTATCAAGTTTGAAGAAAAATACAACTGTTTTATTTATTTCTTTTTCTAAGAATTGATTATGTAAAAAATATAAATAAATGAAAATCATGAATGTACTTTTTCTTTTTCTGTTGAGGAATATCAATAAAACTATCCACTGAAAACCTGAAAAACTACTGCAACCTGCATTTTTAAAATAATATCTATATATAAAAGCATTAGTGAGATTTTTTAATTAATCATTTATTGCAAAAGTTACTCAGAGTCGTTCTGAAAGGTCTAAAGAGCCACATGTGGCTCCAGAGCCACAGGTTGCAGACCCCTGCTGAACAGTTTTATTTATTTATTTGTTTAGTTGATGTCTGCTTGGTTTAATTTGGTTATGTTTAGTTTAGATGAAATAAAATAGACAATGTACATAATGTCATTAATAAAAATAACTGTAAATAATTGTCATAATTTTAAACAGGTCATAATGTCTGGTGTCATCGTGTGTCTGACGACTGTTTTGCCAGAACTAAAACTTTACATTTGAACACACTTCACAGTGGTTAGTTACGGTGATCCAAAAGCACATTGTGTACATCTCTGATGGAACATGCTCCACATGTTGAGCTGCACATGCTGTCAAAGAGCAGGCAGACATATCGCTTTACATGTTCAGTCCTGCAGTGAGACAGTGAGGTCTCAGACCGTATCCCTCTCACTGACATGCTGCAACACCTGCTCACCCTGCACACCAAGCAGTTTCAGGATGGTGCACCGTGTTCTGGACAATGTCTCAAACTATTTCCTCTGCACTAGTCATTTACAGCAGCACACTAAGGTGGTTTTAATTTACACACTAGTGTGTGAGTGTGAAATAAAAGTGACTTTACAATTGTCTTTTCTATCTTGTCTATAAGTTTCATGACTCTTTCTATTGCCTTTATATTGTTTTGAAGCTTTAACTCAGATATTTAGAGGGGTTCCTTTATTCACAAAGGAAAGATGGTCAGAACAAACTAATATACATTAAAGAGACACTATGCTAATGTTTCATGTATTTACATCATTCTTTAACCCTCCCACTGTCCTAATGGGCGTGACCCCACGAGGAAAGTTGACCATTAAACAGGGTTGATGGTTTATCCCTTGGGTCCATGTGGCAGGGGAGAGGAGTGAGCACCACCTCACTCCTGACCTCAAGGGATAAACAACCATCAATCCTGCTCAATGGTCAACCTTTCTCGCGGGGTCACCCAACAAGGAGATAGGTTTTGCTTTTGGTTCTACAGTAAATGGACACTATGGGGTGCTAAAAGCAAGCCAAAACTGCCTAGTCTCCCTTTAAGAAGCTTTAGTAACACACACACACACACACACACACACACACACACACACACACACACACACACACACACACACACACACACACACACACACACACACACACACACACACACACACACACACACACACACACACACACACACATCCTCATAACCATCAACATTATACTAAAAAGAAGGAGAAGGGATTAGAAGAAAAAAAAACAAATGATTAAATCAGGGATGCACCGATGTGAAAATGTGGGCCGATATCTGATATTAATATCCAGACGTGTGACCAAGTCACTGCTTTGCAAGTCACAAGTCTTTCCAGTCAAGTCTCGAGTCAAGTCCAAGTCAAAGACAACCAAGTCCAAGTCGAGTCCAAAGTCAATGAATTGGAAGTCCAAGTCAAGTCCAAGTTCTTAACTTTGAATGTTCAAGTCATAATCAAGTCAGCTGTCAAACTTCAATTTAATGACAATGTTAATAAATAAATTCCAGAAATAAAGCTTCTCAAAGCATCATTTATTTGCTCAAACAAGCAGAAAGTGCAACTGAACTTGATTATAAACGATGTGCTGCTGCATTTAGCAGAACAAGATCAAACCCAGAACGAAGAATGATTCGTGATTTTTGTACATGTCATGCCACTTTTGTGCTAAAATATCAAATATGCTCAAGTCATCAAGTCAACAGATGCAAGTCAATTCAAGTTGCAAGTCATTGGCATTCAAGTCGGAGTCAAGTCATAAGTCTTTATAGTGTAAAGGGTAAATTTACATCTATTTAATGAACCATAAGACATGAGATTCCATAGTAAATATTAAATCAATCTTACGGATCTTTGGGTACTTTTAACCAGAAGATTGGAACTTTTTATTGCAGGGATTATGTATATAACACTTCGTATTAACTTAGAGACAACAGAAGAGAGAGTCACCTTTAAAACATTTGAGAAAATTTATTTCTAAACAATTTTAAACAAGACTAACTCTAAATTCTAAGTGAATGGATGGATCTTGGTGTGAATGAGACGTGAGATGAATAGTGTATGTGTGAGTGATGTTGTAATCAGAACTCTCGTATCCGGAGAAGCACGTCTGAGTGATGAAGTGATGTTTTGCTCTTAAGCTATGATCGGAGTTTCATAAACACAGAAAACGCCATTTGGTCGCTCCACACATGCCCTTCAGGATAAGACCTCCGTACAGATCCAGAATGCCAGGTCCTCTGACCCCCTTTTCGGTACCGGAGTTGATGAAACAGTGTCAGCAGTACGACAGACTAGTCTTTGGATTGTCTCCAGGTAAAAAGCGACAGTTGGTTGACAGCATCAGATGGACCCGGAGGCTCAGTGAGTTCAGCTTTTATTCTGAAAGGAACCGTTGCTTGGTTGATTAAGTGCAACAGATTTTATCCAGCTTGTTGGTTCTTTGCTTAAAAAGGAAGTGCGGGTGGCCGGTCCGATACTTTTCTTAGAATGCAGTGAACTGATCTAAGATGGCGTGGGACTAGTTTTATTAATCTTGATGTTTTGATTTATGGTCAAATCAAAGTTGGGCAGATTTATAAACACCACAGAGACTATGCCACGCTTCAGAAAGGAAGGTTCCGATTGGATGGGTAAAAGCAATGTGTTATGCGTTTACATTACGTGGATCAAGATGTCTAGATTAAAGTCATATTACTTATTAAACTTACTAATCATAACATTGTCATTTCACAGATTGGTCAACCTCTTATTATTGACTAACACTTTGTTTAATTAGCTTTATGAAAAATAGAGTTCTTTGATTTATTAAAAAGAAAGAGTCCTTTGTCTTCATTCTTCTCTTGGGCTGGAAAGGAAGCAGTTTAGAAGCAAATGCATGATACATGATTGAACAATATCTCATGCAGATTAGTTCCTGCTGAGGAGAGGGGGAAATGACTTTTGGTGGAAAACAGTCATTTCATTCCGTTACATATCCCCCCTTTTCAATGGTACAGTGGTCCGTACAGAGACCACCTGGCGTTGAACAAACCAGAGTCCTAAAGGGACTCTGACGATAGGGGAAGGTGCAGTTCCCCAGGAAGAGGCCAAAAGTGGTGAGGTACGAACCCCACTCCGAAGAACAGTCTTGCTTAATCCCTCTTAATCCCTCGGGAAGCACACAAGTCAGCAGATTATCAAGATATCCCAGTGGAAGTAATAATTTGAAGCAGGAGCAAAACTTTATATTTCCACGGGCAGGGAATACTTCCAAAATAGCATATTGACCTTTGTAATTGAACTTATTGTGATCCAGTGCAGGAAAGAGCAGCAGGTAGGTCAGGTCCCAGCGAGTGAAGTATCCCAGCAATCATGCCAGACTCCACAAACGTCCAGGTCCTACGAGCCGGAACACCAATCAGGAGGAGTAGAATCCGATGACGAATCAAAGGTCCACCCCCAGGAAGCGAGGATCATCGACGAAACTCAGCAGAGGAGAGAGAGCACAGCACAGGGGCACTTCAATGTAGACACAACAAGATGGCATCTAATGCAAATTAATAACCAAAAAGAAACCTAGCACTGTGAGTACCTGCATGTATTATGTGTAGCAATTACGTGAATTAGCGTTTTAAGTGAAGAAATGGATGCAATACACTACGTGTACTGGAAAAAGTGGTGCAAAAAGAATAAAATTAATAAAACCCTATACTGCGTATGGGAGAAATCACTGCACTAAGTAAAAATGTTATCAAAATGAAGGGCAAAAATGGTTGTAGCCCATAATGGTGAATTAACAAAGTGAATCATAAAGTTTTCAAAACTTAATCACTGTAGTATAATTCTATAAAAAGATAGATATATGAGTGTCAAAGAGCACTAAAATGTAAATCAGTGAAGTTAGTAATCAACCTACATGTGAATGTACCCATAAGGAATTACGATTAGTGAAAATAAAAACAAATTTGGATAACAGTAATTTGTGGACTAAACCCCTCTACTGTTAACTACCTGATTACCTGACTTCAGGAACCCACAGCATGGCCATCTCAAATCACCCAAGTCTGCACGTCATGTATAAACAGGAGAGACAACCATGCACACACACAAACATAGACAAACATGTGTAACTCGAGACAGAGAACTATGGAGCCGACGAGTCTGGCAATAGAAATCACTCCACCTTCGACGTTCTATCTAAAGGCGCAGGAGGTGCAGGTGGAGGAGCAGGACCGGCTGGCTCAGGCGGAGGCACAAGGGCAGCCGGTGCTTCACGAACCGGTGCGATCATTCCGTTACAATAGATTTTATCAAGTCAAGTCAGAAGTCATTAAAATAATGACTCGAGTACACACCTATGTTAATATTGCTGTTATACCTGCTAACCAATATTTACCGAATTTACATTGATGAATGTAAGAAAATATCAATACACTGAAATATTGTAATATTTTGTGTAATGATACTGAATAAACATTTAAAAGCTGACAATACAATTTTATTGGAAATTCACACACCGATCTTTGTATACCGCTTTTGTGTGGTGCAGTTCAAACCCTGACTGCTAGGTGGCAGCAGTTTTTACCACTTCACTCTTGACAGTGAAACAAAATCTTGCGATAACACTTTTCATTTCATTTCATTCATCTGGCCTGAGTTTTTCATTTAAGTTCAGTCAAGAAATGGCTTTTGGTATCACAAGATATTGTATATTATGAAATATGTCACATTGCCAGATTGTTGCCAATAAACACCCAAAATATGAAAATCACCCCCATTCCTTCTAAAATTGATACATAAATGGGTACTAGATGGAAAATATATTGTTTGTAAATACTGGCCCAGTTTCAAATATTGGACCGATACCAATATGCAAAAAAACGACATTGGCCGATACTGATATTGATGCTGACATATCATGCATCCTTAGATTAAATAGATTTTCTTTGTGTTGGAATGTTTATTTATGAATTTTATTTTTCATTTAGAATTAAATGTATTTATGGCAGAAGCACGAATCGCTAACAGCATTAAAAGGAGAAAAGCTGTATAATGTAATCAGATTATTCTTTCATTGAATAGTAATAAGAGCAAAGCATCGTAATATATAAAACCAGCACTCTAATACAAAGAAAACTGGTTTCATCCTGCTGAAAACACGTTTGAATTAGACATGGAAATAATTAGTATTTCTGTGAGTAACCTGTGTTTAAATCTGCATCAGAATCACAACAAATGATTCTGGGGTTGTCTGTTTGAGGTTGAAGGGCGCTCTCTGGTGGCTACAGACGCAAACTGGAAATATTTCATGCTGAGGAAAGTCTAAATATGTGTGGCAGAATTTAAATGAACTGTTAGTTTATTAGTGCATTTAAATAAATGATGTATTTTCATAGGAGAGGGGTTTAAATTTTTATCTGAATACATTCAAGCCAGTTCTGCAAATTAAACTGACTTTAATTTAAGGTTTTTCACATTCAGATATCATGGAAGAAAATCTCAGTGAATTACAGATTTAACTGAACCTTTGGTTAAAGGTGTTTATTTAGATGCAATAGATCTGATCCCATACCCCATCCAAACTGTTGCTGTGAACCCACGACACCAGGCTTCAGTGCAAGTACAGCCTGATGTTCCAAAAATATAATTTGCAGGTAAAGAACTGGGAATGAACTGGAAAACTGAGCCATGGCCAGCTGAGGCAGCTGATCTTAGTCCAGTCAAACTGAATAACGAGAAAAAGACCCACAAACAACCCATTGCAGTAAAGCAGGCAAACTATCACCAAGAATGTATCTTCTGTAGTCAGATTCCATATTTAAAAAGAGCTGGTCTGAAGGACAGCACAAAGGCAATCATCATGGCTGCACAGGAACAGGCCCTAAACACCAGAGCAACAGAGGTCAAGATCTACCACACCAGACAAGGTGTAGGCTATGCAAAGAGGCCCCTGAGACAATCCACCACATAACTGCAGGGTGTAAGATGCTGGCAGGGAAATCATACATGGAACGCCACAACCAAGTGGCTAACATTGTGTAGAGGAACATCTGTGCAGATTATGGACTGGAAGCCCCAAGGTCAAAATGGGTAACACCCCCTAAGGTGGATGAGAACGAGAAAGCCAAGCTCCTGTGGGTCTTCCAGATCCAGACTGAAAAAATGGTGATGCAAACCAACTGGACATTGTAGTGGTGGACAAACAACAGAGGACAGCCGTTGTGGTTGATGTGGCAATACCAAGTGATGGCAACATCAGGAAAAAAGGAACATGAGAAACTAAAGAAGTACCAGGGCCTCAAAGAAGAACTTGAGAAAGCCTGGAGAGTGAAGACATCAGTGGTGCTCATATGGTCATGGGGGCACAGTAACCCCCAAAATGGAGGAGTGGCTAAAGCAGATCCCAGGAAAAACATCAGACATCTCAGTCCAGAAAAGTGAAGTTCTAGCTAAGATACTGCACCCTCAAGCTCGGGGTTACAAGACACCCTTGGAATTTGATTGCCACTCCAGTTGGCACCCCACTGAGTACCAATTAACTTCATTTTACATTGTTCACAAAAGACTATAGGGCTTATCAATTGTAAAAACAAGCTGTTCCAGCTTGCACCATTAATGTTGGTTTCTGGTACCAGGCCTACAGAAAATTTCCATATTACTGTTATTATTCAGTTTTTATTTTTATTTTTTCATATTGATATAAATAATATTTAGAGTTCTGGTCCTAACTCCACTCCAGTTGGTGACGGTAATGCACCAAGAAGTGGCTGCCAACCACCACAAAACAGCTCAAAAGAGAAGAAGGCCTACAAGTCAAGTATTCTTTATTCTGGACTCTTAGTCCAATTTACAGAAGTAGAAAAACATTGTTGGTAAGATAAAAAGAAATGAGCACAATATGACACGCCAAAGAGACAAAATAATAATGAAAACAAGAACAAGAGACAATAAACAATACATGCAATGTTTATGAAGAAGGGAGAAAAAATGGACATGGCACAGAGTGGGGCTTTGAAAGTATGCAAAAGATGAATGATCTCACCCCCAGACCCCCCACCCCCCCACCCACCCACCCACCCACCAACACACACACACACACACACCATAAGTTTTGGTGCCACCCAAGCATTAACAGGTGCCCACCTGGGCCACCCCATTTTAAAAAGCTTGGACACGCCAATGATTAAAACAAAGTTTTTTTCTTAGACGCGTATCTCCAGACCCTTAAAATGTACTTACAAGTAGTTTTTATTCAACTTGACTGAGTCAGTATATATATATTTTAAATACATTTTTTAAAGCCAGGTTTTAGTCAAAATAATAAACTAAAGTTTATTAGGAGAAATTTTTACAAATCCACGCATACTAAATTAGCGCCATCTCGCCTTGGGGGCAGATCATTTTGCGCTAAAACATCAAATCAATCAGGACTTTGCGCCTGCTTTTAGCTATTCATGGTGCACAGATGGCTCCATCCTGCAGGCCCTTTATCTGACTCTTAATTGGCCCGGGCGGGTTCAGCTGCGGTGCGGACCGGACCCTGGGAGCGACGGAGAAACCCTTTGTCTCCCCAGAAAAGCCATCTCACTTTGGGCTTTTACTGCCCCGTCGCTGCCTCTCCTCCAACTACACCATCCGAGTTCCCGAAAAGGCTGAAGCCTCCCTCCATCCAGCCGCCATTTTCAGCAGATTGAGACCAGGTAGACCGTAAAACCCACAAGTTCCGGTGAGGAAAGAGCAGGTAAGTGCGCCTGAGAGGATCCTGGATCAAATAAAAACCAAACCACCTCGCCGGAGGGGGAAGAAACGCTCCAACGCCAGCGTAGACTCCGGGCAGCATCGGGGGAGAGAAAGGGGCGTTTTGCACAGGAGGGAACAATAAACTGCATCCTCGAGGCGATGCTGCTACATCTCTCCTCTCTCCGGATTTCTCAACTTTTCTTTTCGTTTACGAGACAAAATCTGGTTTCAAATTCGCTTTTTGGCGTCCCGGCTGAAATCTGTCGCTGCTCGTTGATTGAAGTTTAGCTGCAGGGGTTTTAAAAACCTCTGATCTCAAGTGCTGAAACAGGAAATAATAATAATCATAATCATAATAATATAATAATAATAATAATAATGATAATAATAATAATAATATGAATTAACAAACATGATTAAAAAGTCGGTGCACTTCATCCCTTATCTATAGGGAAGCTTTTATTATTAAATAAAAAAGAAGAGTTGTCT